TTTGCAAAATGAATTAATGGTTCATGGTCAGTTTCTAATATAAATTCATGTCCACGAAGATATTTGTCCCATTTTTCTATTGCTTGTACTATTGCATAACATTCTTGTTCAATTGTTGGCCAATTAATTTGTGTTCTTGTTAATTTCTTTGACACATATGCTAATGGTCGATCACCATTGGGGGTCATTTGTAATAAAACAGCCCCGATTCCATCTACAGAAGCATCAGTTTGTAATTTAAATGTTAATGTATCATCAGGTAAATCGAGAATAAGATCAGTTGTTAATATTTTCTTAAGTTGGTGGAATGCTGTTCTAGCTTCAGCAGATAATTCAAATTTTAATTTTTTGTTATTCTTCTGTTGTTGTACTGTTGCTGGAGAATATTTATGTAATGGTGCAGCGATGGTGGAAAATTTTGGAATAAATTTTCGGTAATACTCTGCTGCTTTGACGAATCTAAATGCTTCTTCAGCTGATGTTGGTTCACGTGTTTCGGTCAAACCACGGATGTTGTCTGGATCAGGTTTAATAGTACCTGCTTTAATTAAATGTCCAAGAAATAATATTTCTGCTCTTGCAACTTCGCATTTGTCAACATTTAATTTAAAATTGGCTTCTTGTAATAATAAACATACTTCTTCGATATGTTTTAAATGTTCATTAAAATTTTGTGAATAAATAATAATATCATCGATATAGGCGAGTACATGTTTCCATCTGTTTGGACCTAATATTTGATTAACAATACGTTGAAATGTTGGTGGTCCATTAGTAAGACCTTGTGGTAATACTTTAAATTGAAAATGTCCGTCTCGAGTTGAAAATGCTGTTTTTGGTCGATCTAATTTGTCTAATGGTACTTGAAAATATCCAGCTTTAAAATCAAATTTTGTAAAATATGTTGCTTTTGTTAATTGGTCGTAAATATCATCAATTCTTGGTAGAGGAAAAGCATCTTTTGTTGTAATTTGGTTTAAACGACGATAATCAACACAAAATCTTGTTGTACCATCCTTCTTTTTAACTAATACGACAGGTGAAGACCATGGTGATGTTGAGTGTTCAATAATTCCATTTTTTAATAATTTATCTGTTTCTTTTCTTAAGGTTTCTTGAT